TCGCGTTGGCTTTCTGAGCTCTCCCTTGGTCTGGCGCTGGACATCCTGAGGCATGGCGACAATGATGTTGTCACTCGAGCCAAACGCAAAGCTATCTTCCACGACTTGATCTGCCAACTTGCGCAGAGTATATCCGTCGACTTTGCCCCGCTTGACGCGCTCCAAGGGCCAAGAGACGACGTAAGCGCCAGTAGCAGACACGATTGAAGTCTCTCCGCCATCGATGGGCGTGTCGAACTTCGCTGGAGTAAAGGAGACTTCTTGGTCCATGTATGCCACATGATGAGGCTTGAGCTGCAGTCTTCGAGGGATTGGCTTCGATGCTGCAGGGAACGCACGATCGAAGCCGAGCTGAGTTAAAGACTAGGCGCATCAGTCGTGTGCGTCGCCAAGTATTGACAGATGCGCACCCACTCACCTCTCCTCTGTACTTGCCATCGCCAATGAGCGTATCTATGAGCAGCAAGTACGTCTTGCATGTAGCGACCACGTATCTTCCATCAGCAGTGACGTCTACTCCGAGGATGGGATCTCCCAAAGCGGGAAGAGCCGTCTTTGCGTTCTTTCCAATCTTGTCAAACAGTCGAATGTCTCCCTTATTCGATGCAATGGCCAGTCGACCCTTTTCGTCGGTAGCCGCAGCGCTAAAGTCGTTCTTTGTCGCGTACTGCTTGAAATCTCCATCCACCAACTTCAGCCCAGCAAGACGAGGATCGATGCGGTAGATGCCATTGTGCGAATGTCCGACAAGCGTCTGCTCTGCCGTCGTTTGCGCATACTTGCTGTGAGGAACGACATTTTCCACCTGCACATCGTCATGCACCTTCCATTCCTCCACCACCTTTCCGTACTCCAGATCCATCTTGTACACTGCGTGTGCATTCGAGGGGTCCATCAGCACCATGGCGCTGTCCTGGTCGTGCAGGAGCACCTTTCCGGGATTAAATTGTCTTCCCTTGGGCGTCGCAATATGGTCTATGGTCGTTGCAAACTCGAGCTGATCGTCCTCATTGTGCTTAAAGACGCCGATACGATTTCCTCTGACGACAAATGAGCGATCGAACTTGTAACCCACAGCAAGGCGGCTGTTGGAGTCGTGATCGTC